TTTAAAAAAATTCCTTAGTAAAGCTTTCCCAAATTCTTTTCGTTTGGAACCAGTTATGTAATATTTCATTTCATTTCAATATTTTCAGTCATTACTTTTAGATAGATGATAATCCTATAAAAATAATTTCCAAATCAAGATTTTTCAAATACCTTTCGTTTGGCACCCATATTGCTCCTCAAACATATTTTCGATTGTAAGTCTTCTTAAAACTCTTTAGTTTGATACCCACATTGCAATATTTCATTTATTTAATCAATCCAAAACGGTCCACCCTAATGCTTAATAATATAGGTTCATATGTACGCATACATGTACACTAAAGTGGTCCAAAAATGTATGTGAAAAAAATAAGGTCGGATTTTCTATGCCGCCACCCCCTAGGATTGTTATATACCGAAAAAGTATACCCTTATTTTTTAGTTTGAAATAAAAAATAATTTAGGTAGTGCTCAAAGCGCTCAAACTTTTCCATGTATTTTATATGGAAAAAAACATCTTTTCGTAGAAATAGTGTAGAATTCTTGAAAATCAATATTTTTCGATCGGAAAACTTTACTTATCTTCAGGAGATTCCCGGTAACAATACTCAATTGTTTCTTTAACAATTTTTTCATGGTAACTATATTTTATAGGTCCTCCAAAGCCCTTAGAAAATGCAATGAGAGGACCAATAAAAAATCTTGAATCATAAAAGATTGATAAAAGTGGTTAAATAAATAATTGGATATTAGTCTCCTGAAGAGTTTTCCGGTCGAAAAATATTGATTTTCAAGAATTTTATGCCATTTCTACGAAAAAGTGTTTTTTCTCCATATAAAATACATGGAAAACTTTGAACGCTTTGAGCACTCCCTAAATATTTTTTGATTTCAAAATAAAAAAATAGGGGTATATTTTTTTCGATATGGATCAGTCCTAGGGTGTGCCGACATTAAAACTCCGACTTTATTTTTTTGGACCACTCTAATGTACATATGTATTTATTAGAAACTGTCATAAACTTTTCCGCTAAATTAACTATTTTTTAACTTCCCCCCCAAACAGTTTTACTGCTTTGAGGTTGAACTCAATTCTATTGAAAAGAGCGCGGGTACTTATTTTCCCGTATTCAACCAGGAACGGCCGTCAGCCACCACACATCGTCCGTACCCGCTCTACATTTGTACATATCCATAAAAAAATAATAATAAATCAAACTTATTTGACAAGGGACTAATTTTTCGTTGGTTTATTTATTTTATCGCTTTATATTGAAAATACATTGGTGCAACATACTAAGCTTTCGAGTTAAAATTTTCAAAAAGGTGGCAACTCTCCTCAAAAATATTTCCAACAGTCATCTATCTTAAACTTCCTTAATTTAATACCTATATTTTAATAAGTCATTAATTTTATCAATTATGTAAATTTAGTTAAATTTTCAAACAGGTGGCAACCCTCCCCAAATATATTTTCGGCCGTAAACCTTAATATTGAATTACTTCATTTATTTATTTTTGTAATATAAATGATCCTGCTATGATACCGAACAATACAAAAAAAAAAAATATTCAAATCAGTTCAGCGGTTCTCGAGTTGCGATGACCGTGACAAAGGAACACAACATTTTTTTATATATAAATATAGATTTCTAAATCAAGATTTTTAAATGCCTTTAGTTTGGTACCGATATTGTAACATTTAATTTATTTTACCAATTTAATTGAGATAAATTTTCAAACCGGTGGCAACCCTCTTCCAAGAAACTTTCTACTGTAGGACTTTTAAAAACTCTCAAGTTCGCTACCTACATTTCCATATTTCATTTGTTTAATCAATATAACTGAGTTAAAATTTTCAAATAGGTGGCAATCCTGCACAAAAGTATTTCCAAAAAGTTTTCTTTCCTCAACCTCTTTAATTTGATACCAATTATATTGAGTTAAATTTTCAAACAGGTGGCAACCTTCCTCAGGCATATTTTCGGCTATAAGCCTTCTTAAAAATCTAAAGTTTGATACCCAAATTACCGTATTTCATTTATTTTATCAAAATAAATGAGTTTAAATTTTCAAAGATGTGGCAACTTTACTCAAAAATATTTCCAGCAGCTATCTTTCTTAAAACTCTTGAATTTAATATCTATATTGTAATATATCATTTAGTTTATCAATAAAATTGCGCTTAATTTTTTAACAGGTAAGCCTTCTTAAAATTCTTTAGTTTGATATCCACATAGCAATATTTAATTTACTTTATCAATTTAACTGAGTTAAAATTTAAAAATTGGTGGTAACCCTTCTCCAAAATATTTCCAACAGATATCTTTCTTAAACCTCTTTAATTTGATCCCCATAATGTAATATTTTATTTATTTTATCGATGTACTTTAGTTAAATTTTCAAACAAATGGCAACACTCTTCAAACATATTTTCGGCTGTACGCCTTCTTAAAACTCTATAGTTTTACACCCACATGGCAATAACTCATTTATTTTATCAATTTGTCTGAGTTAAAATTTTCAAATAGGTGGCAATCCTCGTCAAAAATATTTCCAGCTGTTATCTTTCTAAAAACTCTTTAATTTGTTACCCATATTGTAACAATTTATTTATTCTATCAATGTAATTGGGTTTAAAAATTTTCAAACAGGTGGCAACCCTCCAATTTTTTGCGATATCATTGGTTCTGGTATTATACCAAACAATACAAAAAAAAATTATTCAAATCGGTTCAGCCGTTCTCGAGTTTTGACGACCGTGACATACGAACACAACACTTTTATTAATATAGATTTGCAAAAACTACCACATTGCCATATTGTTTTTTAATGTTCTTAGGCTCTTGTTTATCCAAATTTTCAGATAATAAAGAGAAATATACAATTTGGATGTTACTTGTTGTTGTAGACGCTTTTTTAAATTATGGCTCACTAATATAAAATAACATAACGCTGTTTGCAAGTGGACTACTCATTTGTGCAATATTAAAAAAAAATCAACAAAATTTCGTACAAATTTCGAACTTTTAAAAATTCTAAAAAATCAATCGACATTTTTAGCCATTTGAAACGTGTACTTTATTCTACTAGAATTCTATTGGCTACAAAACTGCATACTCAGAATTTAATTAAAAATTTTAACGAAAATTTGTAAATTTTTTTTTTTTAATTGCATAAATTTTTAAGTCAGTGTCACTCGATTGGTACATTTGTACAGATTTGTAAATTTTTATATTGGGCTATTGGTAAAAAAAAGCGGGACTATTTTTTTTTTGCATTCAAAAGATTTGTATTGTACCAATCCTCGATGTTCTATTGAAAAATTTCAATAAATCAACTTTCGTGATTGGGATGGTGCAAAATATTTTGGGTGTTCAAACAATTGGAATACGATTTACACCAAATTTTAGCAAAAACCCAATCGTGTGACACTGCCTTTAAACTTGTACTTATACGAATGTTAGTAAAGAACGAACTATAAAAAACTAACCGAAATTAAATAACAACAAAAATAATATTTTAAAACTAGTCAAAATTTGGTGCGGCTATAATTTTTTCGACTACTGTACATAAGTTGGCTATGATTACTCGGCCGTGCTATCATAGTAGCACAGAGCCACTCTTATTGACTTACAAACAAGCTACGGGGAGGAATTTCAAGATTTCAACCCTGTTTTTATGAAAAATTTTATTTTTATCAGTATTTTTCTTTTAAACAAAATATGTTGAAATAAAAGTGAAACTAAAAAAAAATTTGCCAGACTATTCTCAACTACGAGAAAGCTTCTCCTTTCCACTAACTCACTTTTTTCTCTTACAGTAAAGTATGGCTAACATAAATCTCCACAAATAATTTCCGTATCTTTCCTCATATACCTCTAGAGATATTCTGTACGATAGTTCCACTTGTATGATCTATAAATCCCAGCAGAAATATGTAATATGTATGTATGTATGTAAAGGAGGACAACGCCCCCTTTTCCAATAACTGACACTTTTCTACTCAGGATAGGATTGATTTCATATACTTTCTCCATACCAAGTTCTAGTATTCTACTGCAAACTCCTCTTCATATGCAGTCTGAAAAATTCAGTTTGTATGGGAGGTGCCACGCCCCCATGACATATTCATATTATTTTTAGTCTACAACCATGCTCGGAATGTCGTAAATTGGTGCCCAAAACTTCGAAAAGTCGTTACGGCTGTGCTCAAGCTTTCGAACAGAAAAAACCGGCTTTCAAAAAAATGTTATATATGTATTAGTATAGATGTGCCCGTTGTACTAAAAAAACGACAGCTAAAGAAATAGCTGTATAAATCCATCAAATAACAAACCCGTATACTCACTGTTAATAATTTGATTAATTTACTCTTTTTTCACTTTATAATAGCAGATATTTTAGGGAAAAGTGCAATAATTCAAAAAAAAATCACAGCTTTTCTTGTGGACCACTTCTAATGTGAAAAGTCGATTTGTAAGTGTCCAAAGTTATACCTATGTATTTATCTTCTATTCTATCTGAAGTGAAATTAATGCAAACTTATTAAAGCAATTTCGTTTTAATAATAATAGTAAACTTTTAGACGTGGGTTGAAATGGTGTCGTTTATATAGTACAGAGAGCGCAAATGGGTTAAGTACGAAGTGCTCTAACAAAGGAGAGGAAAATACGCAACTAAATTTCAAGTAATGAAAATGTATGTCTATTTAAATTAAAAATTCCTGAGGCAGTATTTATTTGCATGATCTTATTTCCATTGGAAGCCCAATTTTGGCATTCTCTTTTCTGACACTTTGACAGTCTACATAAAATCGCTCGGAAAAAAGTCCGGACGACATTAGGCTAGTAAGTAAGAACTCAAAATTACTTTGCAATGCCTAAGGACAGCTGAAAAGAAAGGGCAGTCTCGAGCTTCGTCGGGCCTGTAATGAAACATAGAGAATATTATGTACTTGTTTCACTCACAATATAACCTAGTCTTTAGAAACTAAAAATATGCTCTTATATTTTCCAGCAACGAGGTCTTTCGACGATTGGATGAATATTCTGCAAGCTTGGTCATTGAACACATCACTTCCGAACATTCAGGCAACTATTCTTGTATTGCGAGTAACGTCGCCGGGATGGAGCGTTTCACAGTACCATTGACAGTAAATGTTCCTCCCAAATGGGTACTAGAACCAAAAGATTCTAGTGCCCAAGCCGGTCAAGATGTTTGGCTGCATTGCCAGTCTTCTGGATATCCGAAGCCTGCAATTACATGGAAAAAAGCTATTGGACCAACTCCAGGGGAATACAAAGACTTTTTGTATGAGCCGACCGTGCAGCTCTTTCCAAATGGTACAATATTCTTTAAGAAAATCAGCAAGGAGTCGCAGGGCCATTTTCTTTGCGAGTCAAAAAACAACATCGGTTCAGGTGTAAGCAAAGTCATCTTCCTCAAAGTGAACGGTAAGTTATGCATATTTAAATGTCATCATCATAAATATAACAGGACCAACATATTTGGAAAATTTTAAAATTCAGTCGCGATGAGAAATTTACAATATTCGTATTACAAATACCAATTTTAAACACTGCAATCAATATTTTATTTTATTTTTATTTTTTGCTTTTTATTTCGATTATCGAAATCATGATTCAATAAAACAAGATTGTGTAATTTGTGACAGCTAAAATTTGACACTCCTTTATCTAGATTTGTATTTTGGAAGTAGGAGAAAGGGTAAGAATGTGATCGTCTTTTTCGAAAACGGTAGTAGAATGGTACTACAAAAATTGCGCAAAGTATACAATTAGAAGCAGTGTTGGCACTAATCGATTGGTTTTTTAATCAATTAGTTAATTTGATTAAATTCAATCGAATTACAGTTAATCATGATTTAATTTAATCTGATTAAATAGTTAATCGTAACCGCGAGTATAAAAATTAATTTTTAATCATTAACCCTTAATTTGATCAAGTAGGTTTGGTGATTAATTAATTTATGCTGGAATTGTCTTTTGCAACCAAGTCAGTTACTCGGGTATGTCTAAGTCGGTTTCCCTCATAAATCCAAGCAATTTGGTGTGCATTTTTATTGTGATCTATTACCAGCAGACGTTATGAAAACTAGGTTTTATATCTCTTTGCACATGTACCATGGGTTGTCAAACTTCCCAGTTTATGTTATACAAATTATTAGTCTGTTCCAATAGCAGTCCGGTTTACAGGATTTAGTCAGAACTTACAGGAAGTCGTTCCTATTGACATAAAACCTGTAAGTGGGAACACATTTGAGGGAGTAACTAAACAACTGTTCCTTGTCAGAAGTTACGGGATTTAGTCCGGAGTTTTTTTTCCTGTAAGTTCATGAAAAGTGTCAAACGATCAGCTGATTTACATGTGCAAACAAAAACAGAAAGCGGCGAAAGCAAAGAACCTTATATTTGTTAAAAAATGGAAGTAAACAACGAAATATTTGAATATGTATAGATTTTAATAATTATTTAGTGATATTTCAGCCAAATCAGTGTAGTACCAATGACATGTAAACAAACCGTCTGACGTTTTTACAGGAAAAAGTGCTTTTTGCGTTCCTATGCACTTCTGCATCTGTTCTCCTTTTACTCTCATTTGAGAGCGTAAAATTGTAGTTTGACAGTTCCACAGGTTTTAGTCCGAAGTTCAAAGGAACAGACTATATAATTATTATTTGTTTATATAAGTATTATGTGGTTTGTTCCACATTCTACTTGTAGAAAATCTCGAGCAAAGTTCAAACTGTGAGCGTATATCAAAGAAACTCTAAAACTTACTTGTGGAACGCGTATGTATGTGCAACTCGAAGCAGAAAACTTAGATAGATAGAGAAGGTGCAAACTGAAACTATTCGCGGACGAAAAATTAAAAGCGTTAGAAAAGTTCAAGTCGGAATGTAGAAATTCTGTTGAATTTAATGTTGATAACATAATACAATGTTGAGCAACATGAAATGTGATGTTCTTTGCGAGCAAATAAACGAAAATATGGTAAATCTTCACATAATTTTCATTAATTTGTAATTTTTGTTAAATTTTTATCTTGTTCTCCTTTTATGAAGATGCAAATACAATTTAAAATAATGATAGTTTGGCATAAAGTTTACACACATATGTACATGCATACATATACTGGCAATCAAAAGTGAGTGCATGGTGTTTTTTGCTTAATATTTGCAATGTTTTTCAATTAATTTTTTTTTATTATCGTTTTATAAAAATGTGGTTCATGCTTTAATCAAAACTATACAAGTCAAACTTTACACAGAACATAGAAAAATTCAACGAATTCTCGTCTAAATTTTGACCTGTTTAATCTGAGTTTTTAGAAATATTTTGAGTACGCAGATAGATCGGTTTTTTAATCCTAGTGGAAGAAGATCAAGTTTTAAGCGGCTAAAAAATCAGGTTGATTTTTAATGATTTTTTATTGCTGACGGCTTTTTGCACTTTTTACCAAATAAAAGAGAATTTCTTGTAGAATAAAATGCGCATGACCGTTTGCAAACAAATAAAAAAAATTAGCGCTATTTTTTACAAATTGCACTTGCAATATGCATAAAACCGCAATTCCCGTCGAAAATAACAAAAAAGTTTAACTTAAAAACATTGCAAATATTAAACAAAAAACAGGATGCACTCACTTTTGATTGCCAGTGTACATACATATTTGTGTTTAAAATTAACTACTTATGAAATAATTTTTGTGGCACGAACATATACATACTTGCGCTTTCTAAAAATGGGAATAAAAATTGGATTCGCATAAAATTTTAATTCCAATAACTAATATTTTAGTGAGAATATTTACAATAGAGCTTTCAGTAACTTTTGGCAAATTTGAGCGATTATGTGAAATTATACATGCGTTTGTACCTACATATTCATTTACATATATTATTTTAAACAAAGCTAATAGTAAAATTTAAAATGGAATATGGATATGAGAATTAAAAAAAACAAAAAAAAAATTATTACTTGGTCCGTCCGGGATTTGAACCAAGACAAACGGCGAGACGCCAAAAAGTTGCATCGCCTCTAGCATACGCGTCACAGTACATCATTCAAATTCCAATCTCTAAATCACTACATATATGAAATTCTTCATATATTCAAAAAGACAAACGAATAAATATGTATGCATTAATAAATGTAAATATGTGCATACATATGTACGATTGGTCTGCTTTCGTCTTCCCCTCGCCACCAACCAACCACAGACAAATTATTAAATTTCTGGGAATTGCCACGACGCCATCAATATTAACCCTAGGTTGACGGAATATTTTACGTTTTCGCATAAGTTAGCATTTAATAAAGCCATACTCGTATATTTTATATGGAGAATAATAATATTTCGTTTAAAATTCTGCATGTAAACATGTTCTCGACGATACGTGTAACTTTCATGAAAATTAACTAAAAAATTCATGTTATATTAACGGCTGGAATGAAAAAACTATGTCCGCAAATTTGAGTTGACATATTTACACGCATACATGCATACATACATATGGACATATACAGTGGGCTAGCATTAGCTTGGACGTAGCATATCTTGTACTTTGATGTGGTTGAATCTTTTTATGGTACTGAAGATTTTCTTACGGGTGAAAAAAATTAAAAATCATCCGTGGATATATATAAATATATTTTTATAAACGCTTTGAAGTTTAGAAATTTTTAATATTCAAAAATAAATAGAATAATTTTTTTGCAATTATACAAATGGTGTTCAAGGCACATTGACCCACCTGTACAAAAATCGTGGCGCGTCATGGACAAAAATTTTACAATTTCGGACCGAAAAATGTGCAAACGAGCAAAGTTGCCACGTTACATTTGTGAACTTCCGATAAAACCACATATGTTTGTGAATTTAGGAGTTTTGATTTAAAAAAAAAAAATTATGTATGTTCCTGCAGAAAACGTTCACTTTATTTAATGTTAATTAAAATTACACCCTAAAATACTAGTTAATGACTGAAATATTGTTGTGGAACAGAGAAATAGATTGTTTTGCCAAAAATTACCAAAAATTACCAAAATTCGAGATAACTAATTTTACTGGACATAGAGAAATAGTTGCCACTTTTCACTTTGCTGGCCGAGATTTCTTTAATTTTAGATTTTAGCATTTTTGTGTCGGACTGAAAAAGTTTCGCTTGATGGTGATGAATTTGCAGGGAGATGTGCTGCGGTTGTTATGAATGAGTTTATTTGGCCTTGAGAAATACGCGAATGCGTTTATGAATGAAATAGTTCTTGTTGTACTTGAATATGTGCGTGATTATGTATGTATGCTGAGTTGTACATATGTACCTATGCATGTGCGTAGTATTTGGCAGAAATATGCACATACGTATGTACGTATGTACATACTTATCTATATATGCATGTATGCATGTATGCATGTATGTATTTATGTTATCAATTAATGGAGTATGTATTTACATACATATGCGTGGGAAATGCATTTTCATTTGACTGCAAAACTATTGGGGCATATCGTAGACGAAATAAATACGACTCTGAAGTTAAAGTTTGTGAACCTCAAATAAGAAGGAAGTTATTATATGTAACATACATAGTATGGGCACGTTATCAATAAATGATTTGCGAGGTTGTTTAGGTGTGTATGTACACATAAGTACATAGAGGGGAACGTTATCAATTCATATATGATTTTGGAGTACGCGCATTTTTACATATGTAGCGCATTTGTAAGTACATACATATATCCGTATGCGCATGCATGAGAAATAAAGTCGACTCTAAACTTAGTTGCAGCTTTTTACAGATATTCTATTGCAAATTAAGTCAAAAATCTGTAACTAACTTTAGTGTCGACTTACTATGTATATGCCCCATTAATTACATATAATACGAGTATTGCATTGGAAAATGATCATGCAACACATTTGCTCAAAATAAATGTTCATAAAACTCAAAAATAACTTTTCAAGAAAGCCACTTGGAAGTAAACAAGTGCGTTGCACTTGTACGTTTTTTTGTCAATGTGTCCATGTTTAAAGTGAATTTGTGAAAAAACTAAGGCAGCTAGAAAACTGCGGTGTATTGCATTGAAAATATCTAGCATAGATACGGTGACCATCCGTCCTGTATTATACGGGACATTCCTCTTTTTTGACCAATTGTCCTGGTAATTAATTTATTTTATACGGGACGCTAAATGTTCTGTATTTCTTTAATTTCCTGTATATGTCCCGTATTCGGTGTTCGTTAATTCAACGCCTTAACAGCTCACTAAAATGGCATGCCTACGAAGTTGTACCTATATGATGTTAGTATTTGATCGCAATTTTCTCCATTAACAGTTATTTAGGGGATTCCCTTAAGCTCGAAAGTGGCTCGAAAACCACGAAACCTCGAAACTTTTCCAGCCTCGAAAAACAACTGTCAAAAATTGT